CCCAAACCCTTCAGAGCTTTTGCTTTTGTTACGTTTGCTGATGATCAGGTATTCATTCAGGGCCCTGCTTTTTTGCTAATGTGTGGGCAACTTGTTCTTAATCATTGTTTCTGTTTACTTATTGTGTATAAAAACTTAAGTGCAGCAGGCTTATGAGTGTTAAGACAGACTAATTGTTGTCCTATTGAATGGCCATCTTTCATAAATACTTTAGCTGAGATTCCTGCATTGTGGGGGGTTGGACTAGATGAGCCTTTCCAACTCTACAGTTCTATGATTCTATTAATAGCATTCCTATTGGGTGCATATCACATTCACTCTTAAGTTGGAAATTTGGAAAGCTTGACCCTGGAGGTACCCCTGTTCACTGACTTGCTTAACAGATGTAGCTGAATACTTATCCAGCTTGTCAGTGTTCAGTTGCAGAGCTAGACACAAGGCAAGCCTTGTCCACTGGAATTAGTAGCCTCTAAACTTATTAGTTTAATTGTCTAAGCATACATATTACGCATTTGTAGCACACCAACTGATTGAAAGGAGACTGAGGGGTGAAGAGGAAAAAACTCATAGTTTCAGAACCTTTTCAGCTTGTTGCTGAGAAGCAGTATGTTCTTGCCACAGACCACCTGTTGAGTCACTGTTTACAAGTCTGTGCAAAGTAATCTTACTGAACAGTAAACTGTATAAATTGTCATTGATATATCGATAGCATCTTTGTCTCAGAAATCTTAAATGAAGGTGATGTGAGCAAATGTGCTGCTTCTTCCCTTGGCTGTTCATATTGAGCAGAAACAGTAAAGAGGTCCAGTGCACTTAAAATGGAATGTTCTCATTCTACAGTGTCATTCTTTAAGAGGACTGAATTTTCCATTGCAATGAGGGGACCAATATTACTTTTGAAGTAGTGCCGTGTACATATCCTAAGTACTTTATTACTGTCATAGACCAGCATAAACATAAAATTAAGCCCTATAGTTCTGTATGTTACTTCGGCTTAAAGTTGCTTGCTTGTGCCTGATTTTTGTTTTCAAAGTTACTCAGTCTGTATACCTTATTTCTTATAGGTTGCCCAGTCCCTTTGTGGCGAGGACTTGATCATAAAAGGAATCAGCGTCCATATATCCAATGCTGAACCTAAGCATAATAGCAGTAGACAACTAGAAAGAGGTGGAAGATTTGGTGGTAATCCAGGAGGCTTTGGGAATCAGGGTGGATTTCCTAACCGGGGGGGAGGTGGTGGAGGTGGAGGGTTGGGAAACAACCAGGGCAGTAACATGGGTGGTGGGATGAACTTTGGAGCCTTTAGTATCAACCCAGCCATGATGGCAGCAGCTCAGGCAGCGCTCCAAAGCAGTTGGGGGATGATGGGCATGCTAGCTAGCCAGCAAAACCAGTCTGGGCCATCGGGGAACAACCAGCCACAAGGCAACATGCAGAGGGAGCAGAGCCAGGGCTTCAGTTCAGGGAGTAATTCTTACGGAGGCTCTAACTCGGGTGCAGCAATAGGGTGGGGCTCATCAAATACAGGCTCTAGCAGTGGTTTTAATGGCGGTTTTGGTTCAAGCATGGAATCCAAATCATCTGGCTGGGGAATGTAGGCAACCTAATAACTGACTCTGTGGTGGGAAATCAGATTTTTTTTTCTAGAGCTCCTGGTAAGTATATTATAAGATGCATATACTGAAACAAAACTAAACAAAAAAAAAATCCAAATTTGTTCAGCGTGTAGTATATTTCAACAATATTTTTGACAAATTTTTCTTTTCTAATGGGGAATAAAAGGAAGATTAAATGGAGTTTTATAGGTTTTGTTACAATGAGTTGGAATACATGAGTTGGGATATTGAGTGGTTTGAAAGTGAACTGCTGTTCGCCTGACTGGTAAACGGACGCTCTGCAATTTGATAGGAATTCGTAAAAATTTGATTCCTCATTTCCTAGTCAGCTGAGATCTTTGCATGTTTCAAAAATGGAAGCCATTTTTCAGAAACAGCATCCTTTCCTTGTTAGTTTTTTTTCTTTAAAAATTTAATTTGATCCCCCGCCATAAGAATTTTTCTCTCTCTTTCTCTCCCTCCCCCTCCCCCAAATGTCCTGTGTGGAGAATGCAATGTTGGTGTCGGCTTTTTTTCCTTTTAACACTGTCTCCCCTCCTCATACTAAAGTACGGTATGAAGACCTCATTTAATCCTTGCAGTTCATCTCATTTCAAATGTGTATGGAAGAAGCACTTCATTGAAAGCAGTGCAGTTAAAAAAACCTGCCTTAGGAATACTCCTGTCTCCATGCTTTCCTCATCCAAGACTCCTTCATCACACTGCACATGCTACGTCTTAAGACGGTGGGTGTTCCATTTTTATCCGCTACTCTTTTTATTTCATGGAGTCGTATTCAACGCTATGAACGCAAGGCTGTGAGATGGAACCAGAAGGCTTGTTTGAACTTTTGAAAAACCTTGTGTGGGATTGGATTGGATTGGTGGTGCCGAGGCATGTGAGGGCTTGGTATGTGCGAGAAAAAGGAGGAGGCGCATGCAAGAGAGAGACCTGGTGGTGCATTTTGGGATTTTTTAAAAAATAAAAACAAAAATTCTTGGCACGATGTCCCTCGATCCTGTGGCTTTGGTGAGAGTGTGCGGAGAGAGCATTGGGAGCGGACGTACGAGTGTTTTTCTTGCATTCAGAAGGACATCGTGATCTGGAAGAACTTAAGTGGGGGGGCTTTTTACTTAGTTAACCGATTAGTTGGATGTGTTAAGTGAAATGAATATCTGTATATATATTTTTTCTCCTTTATGTCAACTCTGCTGTGAATGCTGTATGGTGTGTGTTCTTTTCTGTTTAATGATCCTGTAAGTGTGGTAACGTGAACTGAAGGTGGGGCTTTTGATGGGAACATCCAGCTTGTGGTGTGCTTTGTGGGTCTTTTTTTTTTTTTTTTTTGTAGCAGAGCTCACTTCCGAGCTTGGGGGTTCCCTTATGGGTGGAAGATTTTTTCTGTCTGTAAGATATCCATATGAATGCTGTTTGCTGCAGTTCTGTGTTTGGATGCTTTTTATAAGATTTGTCAATGTAGGACATTCTTAAATAAAACTGATTTAAGTAATATGTGTGTGTGTTTGACAGCCCCCAAATGCAAAGAGTTCATAGCAGTTAACTTTGTTTTTTTATATCTTATGTTGGGATAAAACTTGTAAAAATTTATTTGCTGTTTTAAGTTTGCTGTTCCATCAATGTAGTTGAACCCTGTAGCACCACTCAAGTCCCATCTGCGTAGCATTTTGTGATGATACACATCTGAAATCCGGTTCTGCCAAATGAGGTATCCCATCCCTGATGAGCAGTTCCCTTTAGAAGACTGAGTGTTGGAGACAAGAGCCAAAACTCTCAGCATACCTGTGGTATTGAGGCTCTAGTGTATTCTGTTTTATGTGACTGAATTGGGGGGCTACAGTATTAAGTCCTCAGTTGGTTTCACCGTAAAGGACATCCACTTAACCATGTGTTAATAGAAGTGTTAGGTTTTCCTGTGTAAAGGAGCAGAATCGACAAGGTTGTCGACTCAGTAGTCCTAAAAACTTGTTAAATTTGTTAAATCACGAGGGTCATTCCATTACTTGATTTAAATTTTACAGCTTCCATTTTGCAGACTCTGGAAAACTGGTATAGTGCTGTTTCATTGTGAATTTCCCCCAAACCCTGAAAAGTTAGCTTCCATTTTCCCTTCAATCTGCAGTTTATATTCTTTCTTTTTAAAAGACTGATATGGACACTTAAAACGTGTTGTTGGGTGTTCATACTGGCATTGCTGTTTAATGCTAAAATCCACACATACTCCAGCACCTGCCTCTCATTGTAAAACAAATCTGACTATTCCAGAGAACAGATATTCTTGAATAAATTGCTTAACCTTTTCTGCACCTAAGTCACATCCATTGCCAAACTCTGTACCATCTGAATTTTGCATTTTAGCACTTGCACTAATACCAGCTACTGCTGCTGAGTAACACTTAATATGGTATTCTCGGACCTCCAAAGGCTAAACTGTGTCATCTCGGGAAGGATCATAAGGGTAAGTTTAATACATCGCTGGCATGGTTTAAATTATTTTTAACTTGTTTTTTTTAAAAAAAAGTTTAGGGCCAAGGGGGAACACATGCTGTGATATTTTAATCCCAGTAGATCACTAAGGGTTCTTCTCTCCCCTCCCTCAGATACCTAAGTGTATTAAGAAATGTTTTCAAACATTATTCATCTCTTTAATTTTTATTTCCACCAGTGTGTTAAAGCAAGTTAATAAAAGGTATTCTCATAACTTGAGTGTCGAGTCTTGTTTTGCTTTAACTTTCAATAGACTTGCATCTATTATGCTAATGTGATTTAAAGTGTCAAATAAGGAGCACAGTCAGTTTAACACTGCTAGAAGGATTATCTTGCTAATGAGCTTCATTTAGTAATAAACAGCATAGTAATCTAACAAAGGCCCTATGTGAGCAAATGTGTTTGTGTGTTTCGGTTACCCACTGAGCATCTCTTAATTACTGAGGCGATGCTACTCAAATAGATGTAGTGTTGACAATTTCCTCTTGCGGTCCAAATTTGTGTGGGTGTGAATTGAGTCTTGGAGTGCTTTGGTCTCAGCAGTTGCAAATGTAATGTTGCAGCTGATTAAACAGCACCTCTGGGGGTCTTGTCCTATTCCTCTGAGCTGTATGTATCTGTTTTGGCTGTCAGTACACCCTGCTTATAAGAACAGAATAGTTTCTGAAATCTTTTCTCAGTAGTAGGGCACAGGGGAGTTCCTTGGGTGCTACAAGCTTTGTCAGAGTTTGCATAATTTTGGAGAGCTACTAGATGTAGATTGACAAAACAGAAAATGAAGCCCTTGAACTTAACTAGCTGGTGATTAAGATTGGGCTCTTTAATCTGTTCCGGAAGGAAGTTTAATACCATTAGGACCAATCCCTGCAGTTTGGACAGTGAGGGGAGGAATTTGTAGAATATTGTCAGTGGCAATGGAAGTGGTAAAAAAGCAACAGCTTAGAATCTTGGAGCATGTCACTAAGAGATACTAAGTGACTTTAGGGACTGGATTCTTTTACCACCTCTATGAATAATCTGGTTGTGATGATCAACATATTACATCTCTTATAACTCTTTGTTGAGCATCTTTAATAGGAAACTTTTCAGACCCACTCGTGTACCCCCAGAAGGAACAGAAATTCTGATGTACCTCTGCTGAGGAGAGCAATAGAGTGCACACATTTGGTTTTTTTATTAACATTTAAATTTGGAAGAAGAAACACGTTGCATTGAACTTATGAAACCCTTGTATGGCACTTGTTCTGGGGGAGTAGGGAAAAAACCAACTTTAAAGGTCCAGCTGTTGGGGGGAGGAAACAGCTTCCCCCTATTCCCCGAAAGTAGAACAAGCACACAAGAGGCATGTGAAATGATACCTAATTTTACATGGAGTGTGTTTCATTTTCTTTGAAAACATGCTGCCTTCCCTGCTTAGGTAGCTCACAACACTGAATTCCCTCAGTAGCATATGATTTTGAGTAAACATACACAGGGTTCTGCTGTACATTGAATAACCTGGAAGCATTTACTGCTTGATCTTCGGCATATTTACCTAAAATTGAAGTCCCAGTTAATGTACTATATTTTTTTATTTCTTGCGTAATTGTAATTCTATGTAAAGCTTTTCTTTTCTTGGTAATGTGATACAAATGAAATGGTAAAAAATAATAATCAAGAATTTTGGGAAATGATGTCTTCAATCCAGGAAATGTAGTTGATCACTTTAGTGTATACGCCATACAGCTCTGCAGAACCACACTCTGGAGGACCCCAGGACACAATGCCGCCTGCAAACCACCTCTTTGTTTCGGCATCAAAAAACACCAGTGACCCGCCACTATCGCCGCTACAGGAATCTCTTCCTCCTTGTTCATATCCAGCACAGAACATGTTTTCTGTCAACACTAGTTGCTTCCCCTCCAAAGTCTGGTTTGCATAAGCAGCTTTACACTTCTCTGGATCAACCACATCTAGCTCAGTGTACATCAGGCTGTGTGACTGCATCCTTTTCTCTGTTCTCCCCCACCCAGCTACTACACCAGTGTTGGTTGTGTTTATGTGGAACCTGCTGCTTTGTCCTGGCAAGCAAATGGGAGTGATGTTTGCATTAATGGGGACTTTGTTCTTCAGTTTGATCAAAGCAATATCATTGTTAAAATTGATGCCATCGTTGGTAAACCCTGCATGCACAAAAACAGATTCTGCCCAGGCCTGGTGGTAGTGAGTGCTTCGCTTTCTTAGAAGCCCCAATTTCAGTGTCAAGGACGAAGCGTCTGCTTCTGGGAGGACGTGGGCAGCTGTTAAGATCCAGTTATCGTACAAAAGAGCTCCACCCCCAGTTGCTCCTTGTCCATTAGTGATCAGAACTTGCCAAGGAAACTGGCCAGGCAGTGCCTTCTTTCCACCAAAAATGCGCTTCAGAGTATTTGAAGTTTGGATTCCGCAAACTGGGGGGGGGGGAGAGTGAATAGTGTTAGGGTTTCATTAGAGAAGCAAGACTTTTAATTGTCATGAATATTGCTTATAGTTCAAAATGCATGTTTCTGAAAGAAGTCCTGAATTTGAAGTGAGAACACTTGTAGAACAGGAGCCTGATCCAAAGAGGGGAGTGGCTTGGGTGGGTGAGGGACAGCCTGTCCTTTTCAAATTCTCTGCCCAGAGAAAGCTGGCATGTCAGACCAATTTCTTAACAGGCTAGTTTACCCTATGCTGGGAGCTTCTGAGTTGGAGTAGTCAACCCTGGCGTTTTCCCTACCTGTGTTCAACACAATTGTGGAAGGGCTGCATAATGTGTGGGTTTGGGGTATTTTCATAGGAATAATATGCATGCCTGGTGTGCAGCTGGACGTTTGGTTCATTTAACTCAATATTGCCTGGAGCAGGGATGAGGAGTATCAAGGCCAGGGGTCAAAATGAGAGTGCACTCACCCAAAGGCTACATGGCCATTAGCCCAAAACAATTTTCCTACATCTGGTATCTAGTATAGACTTCCATTGTCTGATAGTGACTCCAGGGTTTCTGTCAGAAGGTTTCTCATATCTGCTTGGATATGTTGGGGCTTGAATCTCGGAACCTCTGTAGGCAAAGAAGTCATTCGTCTGGAATATATAGAAATGAGCTATGCCTGGTGTGTAGATGTTATGTAAATTGCCTTATATGCTCAAATTTACACAGTTCCTCTTTCTTTAGGGTCCTGGCATTTTTCCTCTGTGGCCCTTCTGACTTTCATTTTTGTTTCTGTTCTGCTTTTAATTTGTGTTTGTTCTAGTTAGTGTATGGAGGTTTTCTCCTCAAAGCTATGGCCAAAATGGAACTGGGGAATAGGTTCCCTCTTCCAGGGGGCCTCAGTAAACACTCTTTTGTGTTGTTGCCTCTGTCTTTTAGAAGAGGTTTTAATCATTTCTTGCATGTTCTGCTCTCCCTGCTGACCAGAAGAACACTTCATGGTAATCCCACGTTTCCATTTTGAATTTACAACTCCCACATCCCTGACCCTTGTCCAGATTGACTGGGGCTGATGGGAGCTGTAGTCAAAACGTCTGGACAGTGGTACCTCTGGTTACGAACTTAATTCGTTCCGGAGGTCTGTTCTTAAGCTGAAACTTCTTATGAGGTGCGCTTTCACTAATGGGGCCTCCTGCTATTGCACGTGATTTCCGTTTGCATCCTGGGGTAAAGTTCGAAACCAGGAGCAGCTACTTCCAGGTTAGCAAAGCTCATAACCTGAAGCGTTCATAACCAGAAGCGTTCCTAAACAGAGGTACCACTGTAGTATGGAGAATAAATGGCTAAAGGGAGATACTGATTTTTGTGTGTTCCTGTTGGTAGTAACATCCTTATGGTGTTAATGCCAGTTCCTGGCATTTTTGGCTACTTTAACTGATTGCAATGGGGGTTTTACTGCAGTTTTGGTGATGACTTTTTCATTATGTTTTTGATATATGCTACTCATTTTGTTGTAGATCTCTTTGCCATTGCTTTGAAATGAAAGGTGGCACACAATTTAAGATAGGCCATTCTCCCTTTTTGCAGGAAAAAAATTGTATTACCTAGAACTGTTTGGTAACTGGATACTTTTTAGCCTGAACAACAGAAGGCTATGGAGGCAGCTATACAGCTGCAAATATAACGTTTTAAGTGTGTTGTAAAGTGCGTTATACAAATGTGACACTAGATGGTGATGGCGAGCTATGGCAAATTCAATATATTTTTCAAAACTTTTTTAAAAAAAACATTTTCAGTGGTTTTTATATGGTCTAGATTCCACCTGAGTGGAACATGATAGCTTTCTTCAGATACCTTGAAGGGTTGGATAGAAGAGGGGATTTGTTCTTGGTTACCCTAGGGAGCAAGGCTAGATCTAATGGTTTTATGTTGTACTGGAGGGTAGATTTTAACTGAACATTAAGTGACTGCTCTTGATGGTACAAGCAATTTAAAAATGGAACCAATTCCCTGGAGGGGTGTGGGTTCTCCCTTGCTGGAAGTCTTTCATATAGAGGCCAGGCAGCCATCTGTTAAAGATGCTGTACCTTTTGATTTTCTGCACTGAGCAGAAGTTGGGCTAGATGGCCTGCAACATCTCCCTCTAACTCAATGGCTGTAACTTTCTCTTTTGGGACATGGCATTGTCTTTGATCAGGAATGAGGAAGATGCAGCCCTCCAGATAGTGGACTTCTAGCTCTGGATGAGTTAAGAGAAAGGGGGCTGATGGGTAGGATAGAGTATAAAGGCTGCTTTGCACCATTTTAAAGTCTGTGAAGACAAAAGTCAGGAATGGGGAACCTGAGGTCCTCTAGCTGCTGTAACTTCCACTGTCCCTGGCTGTTGGCTATGGTGGATGGGGCTGAAGAGAACCACAGGTTCTCCATTCCTGGTCAAAACTGAGGTGGGAGGGAGGGTGACAAAATGGGATACAGTACTTCATATATTCAACACCAGTCAAAAATATTTCAACTTCTGAAGTGAATTTGGAGAGGGGGAGAAAACAAGATGTTTTCAGGCCATTTATCATGTGAAGTGTCGCCTGGCTATGTATGGCAGGAGTGGGGAATCTGTGGTTTCATACATTACCTGGCTCACATACAGGAGGTGCTTTGTTTCCCATGGAATCTCTCCAGTAGCCATCAGGGGCGCACAGGAACCTGCCTACATTAAAAAGTTAAGCAGTTGAGATGTCTACACAGAGCAAAGCACTCTACAATAAAACCACTTGGAGGTTTTACTACAATCAAGGGGTATATAAATGTTGTTAAATTCTCCCCCAATATATAGCTGGCTTCTTCAAATCGCTGAAAAATCCATCTCTTTCAGACTTTTTGCTGTTCCTATGTGTGTAAATCTATTTCCTACCAATTTTGCATTTTTATCTTCCCTAAACCCCGTGAGGTGTCTCGGCTGGATAATCATGAGTTGCTTGGTTGAGGAATACTTGGGTATGCTGCAGTGACTCTGGATTATGTGTGTAAACATGCTGTGACATCACAGCAGCACAACCACTTGCTGGGTGGAGGATATGAATTCAAATGTCAACCACTGTCGAGCCCATTACAGATACATTTATGTCCTTTTGCTTTTCAGTCAAGAGGCATGACTAAACACTGATGTGATATCATAAAAGGCCAATAGAGAACTCTGCTCTCAAGTGTTGATTCACTGGTAGCCAAAATGACACCATACAAGCCCAAGAGAGGAGGTAGCTGCAGGCTTGTTAGGACTAAACGTTTGGAGAAGTAGGCAGAAGATTTTGGAAGCGGGGGAGAAACCTCTAAATGGAGAAGCACCGTAAAACAGCCCAACGAAGAAGGCTCAGTGGGCATGGAATGCTGGCTGACTGCAGGGGGAGATAGAATGGAGTATCCTGAAAGAGGTCATGGCTGGCTAAACAAGAATACTGCAAAGTAGGTCCTAGTATGATTGTCCCATTTGGGACAATGGGGTTTACAATTAAAGATGTGTATATCAAGGCCATGCTCCCTTAAACTATCATTTCTCTTACCAGAATGTCCGGCTTTCAGAGCATAGTAGGGGCTTTCGCATTTGTATTTGATCTCAGTTTGGTATGTAGTTCTATCAGGCCCTGTGACGTACACCAGTGCACCGTTTGCTGTGTCCTCGGCTGGACCACAGTCAACAACTGAAAAGAATGGAGCAACAATAGTTTTAAAATGCTTTGTAAGACTGGTTGAGGGAAACCTAGGACTAGCTAGACTGGAAAGGAACCAAAGCTCTCAGTAGCAGGTTACCTGTTTTGTATGCAGAAAGTGCTATATTCAATCCCTGGTACAGTGGTGCCCCGCAAGACGAACGCCTCACAAGACGGAAAACCCGCTAGACGAAAGGGTTTTCCGTTTTGGAGGTGCTTCGCAAAACGAATTTCCTATGGGCTTGCTTCGCAAGACGAAAATGTCTTGCGAGTTCCTGCAGGGTTTTTTCCCTTCCCCCCCTTTTTCCCAAGCCACTAAGCCGCTTATCAGCTGATCCGCTAAGCCGCTTAACAGCTGATCGCTAAGCCGCTTATCAGCTGATCCGCTAAGCTGCTTAACAGCTGATCCGCTAAGCTGCTTATCAGCTGATCCGCTAGGCCGCTTAACAGCGGAGCCGCTAGGCCGCTTAACAGCTGAGCCGCTAAGCCGCTTATCAGCTGATCCGCTAAGCCCGCTAAGCCGCTAATAGCACTAAGCCGCTAATGGGCTTGCTTCGCAAGACGAAAAAACCGCAAGACGAAGAGATTCGCGGAACGGATTCTTTTCGTCTTGCGAGGCACCACTGTATCTGGAACAACCTTCTGCATCTTAGCTACCTTATAGATGTTTTGGACTACAGCTCCCATATTGTGCGTATCAAGGCTGATGGGAATTGTAGTTCAGAACCTCTGGAGGATTCTGTATTGAGGCAAGCTGTCCTAGTGCAAAGAATCGGATAGGAGTTGACAAAAAATATCCTTGCTTGAATCTTCAGCTACATGGATAAACAGAAGTACTATTGGGTGGCTTCCTATGTTCTTAACTCAACCTGTATCTTACCAGTACAGTATGAACTGGTGCTAGTGAAAATGCAATTTTGCACACACATTTTATGTGGGCATTCACATAACACTTGTGGTGGGTTCACAGATGGGCTTACCATGTTATCAGGTCAGCCTTTGAATTTAAAAGTAGACCTGTGGAAAGTAGGGGGTCAGCGTGTGTGAGCAAGCATTGCTTGTGGGACCACTGTATTCTTGCAAGCACATCCTTTACCACTGCAGACTGTTCTCTGCAGTGTGAGCTACATCACTGTAGGCTGCATATCCAAGTTAGATAGATTAAAAGTCTGCTGAAGAAAGTGGTACAGATAGATACTACCCCTAGAGTCCATCATCTAAAGTTACCTAACATCATAGTTCTGGTAAAGGGACCTCTGACCATTAGGTCCAGTCGTGGCCGACTTGGGTTGCGGCGCTCATCTCGCTTTATTGGCCGAGGGAACCAGCGTACAGCTTCCAGGTCATGTGGCCAGCATGACTAAGCTGCTTCTGGCAAACCAGAGCAGCGCACGGAAACGCCGTTTACCTTCCCGCTCTAGGTGGGCAGGAGCAGGGAACGAGCAACGGGAGCTCACCCCGTCGCGGGGATTCCAACTGCCGACCTTCTGATCAGCAAGTCCTAAGCTCTGTGGTTGTAACTCACAGTGCTACCCGCATCCCTATATAGTTCTGTTAACCGCTAACTAATGGAACTCCTTCATTGCTTACTGCCCAATGATCTTACAAGACTCTTTGTTGAAGGGCCATGTCGTGAAGCGCACACTTAACATTTCTCTCCTTCACTGCCATTTCATGCTTTGCAACAACAACTACATTTCTGATTATGAGTTTGATTTTTAAAAAAGTTTTCCAAACCTAATGAAACACTGAGCATGTGTAGTTTAAACATGCTCCAGTGAGCACCATCATGACTACAGGAATAAAATGGAGGAGCTGGCTTCTGCTGCTCTCATGCTAATCACATTCGACTTTTGAATAAACAACCATTTTGTTGATGGGAGGGCTAAAACATATTTTAAAGTAATAAAAATAATCTATACTCATCCATGCACATGCCCAGCGAGCTGCCCCAACTATAAAACATTTTTTTGGGGGAAATATATGGCAATCAATGTCAGGTGCTGGTGGTGGGGCCTGTTTGCCTCAATTCTCCTTGTTGATCATGCTCTGGATGGCAAGTCAAGAGACCTCTGTCCACTCCTCATTTTGCTGAATTGTGCCCTTGATATCTACCCCAGAGTCCTGTCCTTACAGAACAACTGTACCAGTAGAATCCAAATTCAAAGGGGAATCAGCAGATATATTATAAAGACCCCAAAGCTTTGGATTTCTTCATTCTGAAGGCTGCAGCCCACAAAATAGAGTTGCCATATTTCAAAAAGTAAAATTCCTGCCACAAATTTGAGGCTTTTTTTGGAAACCTAACCCAAAAATAGTGGTTTTAAACTTTTTGAGCTGTTTCTGCTGCTTTTTCCATCATTTTGCTGATTTGGCAAAATCCCCCCCCCGATGCCATTTTTACACCCCAAAACAGGACATGTCAGGAATTTTCCTGACATATGGCAAGCCTACATAAAGTATTTAAAATATAAAACATTTTGGAGCTGCAATAAGAACTCTTGTTCCTGGGCAGCCTAAAATTTTGTCAATAAAATAACTAAGTTTACAGCTTCCTACTTTTTCCCATCTCCAAGGTGGCTTTTGGATATTAAAATCAAATTAAAGAAGAAAAACAAGTGGAAAAATCCAGGTTTTCCCATTAAAAGCGTAGGAGCCCTGCCAGAAGAAAATGATGGAAACTTTTAAAACCCTGATAGCAACTCTGCAGCTGAATTTTGGGTGCCTGTTGATCTGTACTCCCACTGAGAATATTCCAATTAAAACAAATTTTATTATGCTCTGATTCAAGCATGCTTTGCCTCCTCCGCTTTTTGTGTGTGCAAGACTGCTTCATTCTGTCAAACACAATATGGATTCCCACAAGAAATAATTAAACCAGTAATCCATCTGAATATTACAAATCCAAAGACCTCCCTCCACCCACTCCTTCGCATTGACTTACTGATGCACTGAGCCATTGGCTTGTTCCAGGAGCCGTCCTTTTGACATATCGCCATGAAAGATTCCACAATCATCTTATTCTGTGGGAGGGAAAGAGGAAAACAGAAATCCTATTTATTTTCTTGAAAACAATCATAGCTTTGACAGCCCAAATGGATTTTCCCCGGTGGGGAAATATGTCTAGTTTAGCCTGCGAGAACGTGTTTGCCGTTAGTTTTCAATAATGGGTGATATTCAGTGTTAGTTATGTCCAAGATAGGGTTCAGAGAGAATTTTGATTCACTTTTCATTTAATGGCAGACTTACTTGATTCGCACTTTCTGAAATAATATGTGACCTGAAACATGGCTCTCCTTTAAAATCTGCACTTTTCTGAATTATGGAATGTAGGTCTCCAGCCAAGTAAAATGCAAAGACTAGTGTAATATGTGCTTATAAATAAATTACTAAATAATGCAAAAGAACACATTGCATAAGGAAAATAGCTTTGCAAAATGCACATTAGGTTTAATTGCATATAAAAAATGTGTGTATCGGGAAATTCACACTTAAATGCTGATGAATATTCCAATGGCCTTTAAATTAATCACACACTGATATCGTAGTGAGGAAAATGAAACTTAAGACTGAAAAAACAAGAAACAAAACAATATTTGCCCATCCCTAATGCAGAGTAGACCTATTACAACCAGTGGTCCCCCCCCAAAAAAAATGTTTAGGGGTACTCTCATTTTCCTACTCATATTGAAATACTGCCCCTCAATGAGGCCAAACTTAGATTCACAAAATGTTTAGGGGTATGCATACCCCCAAAAAAACACTGATTAGAACCAATGGGTCTACTCTAAAAATGCTTTGGTTGGATCAATATGACAAAAACTTAGAGGGGGTTTGTCAAGTGCCTTATGTTCAGCATGGGAGAGCCCGTCTAAACTCAGCCACAGTGGGGGTTGCATGGGTTTGGACCCACAATACTAAATGTGTGACTTCCGATAGTTACCTCTGAGCCACGCAGAGCCATAGCTAGGGGGTCTTGCGCCACTGGCAGAACTGTCCAGATTGTGCCCCCTAGCCACTGACAAATTAGCTCTTCTTTCCACCTCTCCTCCAACCCCCCCTTCAATTCACCCTCTATTTAAAACCTTTTCTTATGAGGCAATAATCAATATTTTTATTTATAGACATATTAATGGACATATTTTTAGCTGATTTTGTGCCCCCCCTCGCCTGTGCCCCTGGTGGGACCCCACCTTGCCACCCGCTAGCTACGGCCCTGGAGCCACAGGGAGACCAGCTAACAGCGATTTACCCAAAATATCTGATCCAGGAGGGATATAAGAGATCAGGCAGTCCTTGAGGTATCCTGGATCCAAGTTTCTAAGGGCCTTGCAAATTAGTGCAAGAAACTTGAACCTTGCCTGATAACGTGCAGCCACTTCAAGCCTTTATGCCTCAGTCTTAGGTGCAGCTATGCTATCTAGCCAGCCATGTTCTCTTCCAGGATACTCCATTCCATACCCCCTGATTTTCCACCCCAGCTGCCCACTATTCTCCCCCCCCCTCTCCCAAGGCTGGCGTTCCCTCAAGTTGTTTTGGCCATGGCACTCGGAAAGTCATATTTGCTGTGAGAACATAAAACTGCTTTGGTTCCTCAGTTAAATAGTATACCCATATGCTCACATGTGCACCGCAAGGGATGGTTTTACCTACTTCCAAGAGTACGTAGCCGATATCGCAGGAGAGACTGTAGGACTCTTTCATAATATATTTTTCTTGCACTGGATAGATGTGGCCATTGGGTGGCGCTTCAGGGTTGGGGCATGGCAATGCTGCAGAAAGTTGAACAACAACAACAAAAAACCACCTCATTGCCATTTCCTGTCAAAGCAGATTCAAATCTTGCGTCCATACTAATATGTGGGGCAGGTGGCGCTCTCACACTACATCCTGCTTAATCCCACAGTTGAAATGATGGCTAATTTGTTCCTTCTGCGGTTGCTTGTGTTGTGAATAGGAAGGTGCCTTAGAAGAGCATTAGTCCATCTAGCTCTGGATTGCGGCTCCCCTGTGGCCCTTGAGCTGTTGTTGGGCTCCATCAACCACACCAGCATGACTCAATGGTCAGAGATGATGGGAGCTGTAATTCAAAAAATGCAGGAGCATATATAAATAATAAGAGCCCTGCTGGAGCTTGCCCACTACTCAGATTAGACAACAGTGAGCTAGATGGACTTTGGCCTGTGTAGGGAATGACCTAGCTCAGTTATGCAACACGTGCTTTGTATTCAGAAGGTTCCAGGTTCATTCGTGGTCGTGCCCTGGAGAACTATTGCCACCCAACGTAGACATTACTAATCTTGATAAACTCTGACTGGGTATAAGCAGGGGGGTTTTCAGCCAGAACTTGGGGGAACTCAGTTCCGGCACGTCTTAGGTGGGTTCTGGCAACTCTCAGATGGGTGCCATTGCCATTTTAAGAGAACAAGGAAGGCATTGATGGTGAGTTCCGGCACCTCTTTTATAGAAAAATAACACTGGATATAGGACAACTTCTTTAGGTCCTATACCAGTTGATAGTTAAAGAACTGGAGAGGAAAATGAGCACCCTTAGAAGGTGCAGACATGAGACAAGTCTCCAGCTGGCATTATTTCTTAAAACATCCACGATGGGGAAAGACATCTGCCTAAGAGCCTGGAGGGCTGATAATAGATAGTGTAGTAGATGGTGGAAGCTGATCTATTAGGGGAATTGGGGCCCAGCCTCAACAGCCTCGGTCTGCTCTCAGTCAGCCCACACCTGCCTTCCTTCTTACGTACAGCTAGTCAGCAGGTGGCTCTGCCTGTCATTGGCACTTACTGCTGGTATCTCTACCTCATGCCTTACCTGTCACAACGGTAGACAGTACTGAACCAGTTGACCAACAGCTAATAAGAAGCAGCTTCTTCAGGATCCTATGGCTTCCTGTAGCTTGGCATCCTTGTGCCCCAGAGCTGGAGGACCATAACTTGGCCCCCTCACCATTCCCAGGGCTCCCTAGGAGCCAGGAAATGATATGTGTACCCAGCAGAACTTCACTGCTGCCTGCTCTTTGGTTAAAAGCGATAATCTTACCTGTTGTGGTATATCTGATTTTCCATCCTGTGTGATCTCCAGAGAGGTCTGTGGTGAACTGGATGTTGACGGTGTTGCTATGGGTTTCAATTTTCATAGGGAGGGTGTCCCCACAGAACGGGCCAAATTCTTGCTTGGGTGTTTTGATCTGAAACAGTGAAGGGAAACACTTCCATCATGGGCTGATCGAGTATCAGCTGTTCGGCTCTTAAGTTGCTTGCCTTTCTTCCATCATGGGCTGATCGAGTATCAGCTGTTCGGCTCTTAAGTTGCTTGCCTCAGGAGGCCCACAGCTGTTGTCAGGTAACCAGGGGACCCAATAGCACTTTGCTGCTTGAGGCAAAGGACAGTATCCTCCCTCCCCCCGTTTCAATCTACTGTTTATTTTGGAAAATGGCTTGTTCGCTATGCATTTGGACACCTCTTAAGATACCGTAACCAAGTTTTGAATGATGGTTCCTGAGATTAATGAGCAGGGTTTTACTTTGGATAAAATTGGGTGCCTGTTTTGAATCAAGATGGCATACTGAGCCCTTCAAACCTGCACTGATTTTATTGTGTTTCTTCCTTTTTGCTTGTTAAAGTTCCTGAGCTACTCCGGGGATGAGGGCTACTGGTTCCAAATATAGAAACTTCCCGGTTTGGCACCCAAATATTGAAACACTGGCAGTGGGACAGTATCCCCATCCCAAGGGGACAGCAGACTAGCTTAGGGGGTCCAGGGTATACTTGATGGTAGGCATAATTTGGGCTTCCAAGAGGGGAATGCCTGGGGGCTGCTACCCTGGAGAACCACTACCAGCTAGAGTAGATACTGGGCTGGATGCACCAGTTTAGCCATCTACCCCAAGTCTATTTTGTAGCTACCTGGTCCATAAATACATGCAACCAACTTCAACATTCTCAGTACATGTGATTCTATTTTATTTTATTTGTATGGGGATTTAGTGTGGATCTAAGAGTATCTGAATTCTTTGTAATGGGAGACGGATGTGAAAACTGATAACAGTCCAAGCATTCCAGTTAGGTGCCCCCAGAAGTAACTGCAATTTGCTGCCATGCATTGGGGCATTGCAGTGTCCTCAGCTCTTCATTGGTGTAGGATTGTATCCAGCCAAGTCCTACTCAGAGTAGACCCATTGAAACTGATTGGGCCTAAGTTAGCCATGCCTATTAATTTCATTGGGCCTGTTCTGAATAGGACTACTAGCATTGGATACAACTTAACTGGTGCTGACTGTACAGAAAACAAGTTTCTTTAGTAGTAGAAGACCTGGTGAGCAGGTCCAACTGACCTTAAGGATGTCATAGGGGCATTCCACTTCTGGGTGGGTCTCTACATTAAAGCTTCCCACAAATTCCAAGACGACCATGTATCCATCTTCCACCTGGATCCCATAATTGCACTGGGAGAGTTTGGGATATGGGTTGGGATAACGTGGACTGGAAATCTCTCCAGATCTTGCAGTCAGCACCTTATCTACGCAATTGGCTGAAAAGTGAAGAGAGAGAAAATAAATAAATCCCAAATTCTTCTCAGGAAAGCACATTAATTTATAAAGTTATTTGTCAAAAGAACAGTTTGTTACGGTAATAAGGCCATTTTTACCCTGCTTTTCTGTTGCCTGCACATCCCTCATGGTGGCTTCCATCAGTTCAAATGCATTTGTACAAATGTATTCAAGGATTCCTAATGTGTTTTGAACACAAGGAATCTAACGCCTACCAGATTTTATCAGACTACAACTCTCATTGTCCCTTACTCTTGACTGGAGGCCCAAGCACTGATTTTTAGTGCCAGTTCTTTGGAGAGTTCCTGGATATGTGGTATTCCTTTTAAAAAAATATATGATTGTTACATTGTTTTGATTTCAATTCAATTCTGAAGAATTTGGCTAGGCCTCAGTATTATAGCAGGTCTGATGAATTTCTGAAATCTAGTTACAGATAGGTAGCCGTGTTGGTCTGCCATAGTCAAAACAAAAAAAAATTCCTTCCAGTAGCACCTTAAAGACCAACTAAGTTAGTTCTTGGTATGAGCTTTCGTGTGCATGCACACTTGGTATCTGAAGAAGTGTGCATGCACACGAAAGCTCATACCAAGAACTAACTTAGTTGGTCTTTAAGGTGCTACTGGAAGGAATTTTTTTTGTTCTGAAATCTAGTTGTTCTTGTACTGCTTTTCATCTGTTTTTATGGTATATTTGGAAATCAGCTTGAGATGCATGTAAATGATTATTCATAAATTCTTTAATAATGGTGACTAGATAATCTAGCTCAGTATTGTCAACTCTGACTGGCAGCGATTCTCCAGGGTCTCAGGCAGAGAAGTCTTTCCCATCATCTATTTGCTGATCTTTTTAATTGCCAATGCTGCAGATTGAATTTGGGACCTCCTGCATAGAAAGCAGATCCTTTTATCACTGAGCTTGGGACCCTCTCCCTAATTAAAATTTAGTCTCTCCCTATTTTCCTGCCCCCCCAACAAAACATACAACGAATACATAAAAACCCCAATGCCAAACAGTCAGTAGCAATAAGATAACTAAGTGTTTGCTGAGATAGCTGTGCTGTGTGGCATATCAAGCAGTACTCCTCCATTTGGCCCTAGCACAGGGTAAGAATATACTGCATCTCAATGGGGTTTCAATTGGTTCTTACCTAAACCTTTTTAAAAAATCAATTTAATCAATGGCCATTTCTGCAACATCTTTTGGTGGCGAGTTCCATAAGTTGTGCGAAGGATGTCACTTTCCCTACCCCCAGTGTATTGCCCATCAGTTGCTTGAGCGCACCCCAATCCAAATCTGAAAATGGGAGTGGAGGAAAAAAGTTTCATAATTCTAAAAACACTTACAGTAGCCTCCACCAAACTGGTGCCTTCCAATTGGGTTGGAGCATGACTGCCAGGTGGGAGTTGTGAGCTATAGCATCAGCTCCAACAATGGCGGACCTTGGCTATCCAACTTTGATCAAAGTTTCCCTAAACTAAAATGCTCCATATGCTTTTAGCATCTCCATGCAGGGAAGGTGCTTTAATGCCTTGACCAATTTAATTGACCTCTGGTACATCTTTTCCAGCTGGGCAGCAGCTATCAGCACCGATAGCTGCAAACCCTGATACCTTTGTGGCTGTCATCTTTGAATTGGCCTGCCACTTGTTTAAAGTGGAAGGGCTGTAGCTCAGTAGCAGAGCCCCAGGTTCAAATCCCTGGCATCTCCAGGTAGAGAGAGACCCCCTGTCTGAAACTCCACAGTGCCATTGCCATTCAGTGCAGACAGCACAGAGATAGACCAGTGATCTTACTCTATAATGCAGTTCCTAAAGCCTTCTCTTTACATCAGGGGTGGGGAATCTTTGGTCTGACTACAACTTGCATCATCTCTGATCCATTGGCCATGCTGGTGGGCGGGCAGGCAGGGGAGGGGTGTTGATGGGAGTTGGAGTCCAGCCACATTTGGAAGGCCAAAGGTTCCCCAACTCTGGTTTACATGTGCAATTCTGATGGCAGCTGCCCTCCCTGTTTCCTTCCCGATGCTTTCAAAAAATACAACCCACCCCTCAGCGGCTCTCTTGGTCGCCAGGCGTGTGTAGGAGTGGAAATCATCCTTGCTCTGCAAAATCCAGCTGTAACTCTAGCTGGCATGCTCGGAGTCATGGCATCTCCCGCTGGACACAGCAGGCAGGATTGATCGGTTACCGAGTGCCTGAAGGAACTCTTGCTTGTTGACAGCGCCTGGTACTTGGCTAGGGCCAGGCAGTTGCAGGTTCTTAATCTGAACTGCAGCAACTTCCTTGCTGATTTATGGAGGAGGATGGAGCAAGGGGTTGACAGACATAGGCCAGGAATATTTTTTGCCTTCGCAGTGGTTCAGCTCAAGATGACTCAAAATCAGAAAGGCATTCAAGTACTAAGCCTCTTCTCCCCCACTCCCTCTATTTTGCTTCTTTCCCCCTTGACCACATATAACCTTGGAAAGAAAAAGTTTTATTTTCTTGTCGGCAGGGGTGTAGCTAGCTCCTCCAACAACTTGGCACAATGTAGATACACACTGAAATATTTAAGTGCAAACACTGGCCTTCATAACAACTCATGAATACTGCTTTAAATTAGTTTCAGTGAATTGTAGCAGTTGATATCTAATCCATATCTATTCATCATAGTGTTTGTAAATAAGACCCAATAGTCCTTCAAACTTTCTGAGATTCCCCTCTGCTATTGCGTAACTGAATGTATTCTGCAACATGTGCCATTTCAACAAGCACATTTTAAATGCTAGTGTTAGCTTCTGTTTTGTCTCTGACTTTCTGACAGCCTACAGTCAGGCAGTTCTTTCTTTACTGTGACTTTCAAATATCCTGCCAACATCACAAGAGGATTTAGTGCAGTGTTTGGGAATATTTTTTTTTCACCCTGAGGGCCACATTCTGGTCTGAGCAACTTTCCAGGGGCCTCAGGTTCAATGCCTAGCGTCTTCAGGTAGGGTTGAAAGTCTCTCTAGCCAGACCTTAAAGAGCTACTGGTCCATCAGTGTAGACAATACTGATAATAAGGAGAGCCCTGAAGGCCTGAACCACATCCAGCATCCTGTTCTCACAGTGGCCAACCAGATGCTCTAATAGGAAGCCTGCAAGCAGGTCCTGAGTACATCAGCTCTCACCACTTGGGATTCCCACCATCTGGTATTCAGAGGCTATTCTACCTCTGACAGAGTTAGAACATAGCCATCATAGTTTGTAGCAATTGTGCAATACATGGCTGTTCCATCACAGTCATTCTTGAACTGGCACTAATGAGGCAGGGACATCACATTTGCTACCCAATTGGCACAAGTGGTGTCACAGCATTCCCCGATATGTGCCTGTGATGCTCATGCTGCCATGCTCTGTAGAGCACTCCTTGTCACAATTGATGGGACAAAGTGGGACCAGCTCTCCCCGGCTGTTACACAGTGAGAACAGACAGCTTCTTGTGGTCACGACAATGGAACGGCTTGAACTGACTCTCCTGTGTTTTATAGTTCTTTGGATATGGCCACAGGGAGCTGCCTTTATTATGGGCTGTATTTTTATTTCACAGATCTGCAGGCAAGAAAAATCTATAAAGCAGTTTTTTTTAAAGGAAAAAAGAAAAAAAGGCTTGCGCAAGAGGAATGGGACAATTTTTCACGCCGTCCTCGGCTGTAAACTCTAGCTGGGCTTTAGGGGCGCCGGGAGAGTGTTCAATTACACTTAGGGCTATATTTTTATTAGAGTAACACTATACTGCCCATGAGAGACTTGAACTCTGAGGAAGGAGCCTGCCTCAACTGGTGAACTCGTGATGGCTGGATGGCTGGATCATTAGGTCCAAAATTAACAGTAGGCTGTGAATTACGTTAGTGAGTAACTGGGAAGTTGCTGTGAGTTTGAAGAGTGGAAGCAAAGTGGGAGTGGGTGGGTGACGTGCATGGCTTTTGCCATTTCATTGCAGGCAGGGAGAACTTCCATGTTTAAATTATCTGTCTGATATCGATAGCTGGTGCATATAAAAGGCTTCTCCTTGACAAGCTACTTTTCTATGTGTGTGTGTGTTTTTGTTTAAAGACATGATTCTCCACCTGTTGCCCTGAAGACCAATTCGCGAAAAGGAGCAAAGTTTTAAAATGAACACATTTTACGTTTTCAAAAGTGTCACTGCTGCTCAGAAGCTTCCTTAGATCAGACTATTTGTTCTATCTTACTCCAGCTTGCAGTGGACCCTCCAGGACATCAGAATAGTGTTTCCTTTAATCTGACCCTTTTAACACAGGAAAGGGGAATCTCATGCCCTCCAGCTGTTGTTGGACCACAACTCCCATCATCCTTAACTGCTGAACCCAACAAGGCCACAGGTTCAGCACCCCCCTTTTAGCTGGAGATGCCAGAGGTTGAACTTGGGATCACCTTAATGCAAAAGAGGAAGTTGGGAAAATGATGCCCTTTCCCACTTCCTTTTTATGGCTCCTTGTGCTTTTCAAGGCTTAGATTCTACTGGATACAACTTTTACCCAAATCTCTTGGGGAAATGAAGTTGTACTTGTATACTTCTTGTCTCTTTGTAGGGTGGGCTTATCCAGGGGAGGGGAGGGGAAGGGGGGAGAAAAGTGATGCCCAAGGCAGTCAAAAATTCCAGTGTGCCCATGGACTTTAAAAGTTTGGCAAACAATGTCTACTAACCATGATGGCTACATTCCACCTCCACTGTTGGAGGCAGTCTGCCTCTGAATCATAGCTCCTGGAAGAGAGTGCCAGGTAGGCTTGGGAGAGATTCTCTGCCTGAGACCATGGAGAACAGCCAGTCAGTGTATGCCAGGCTTCCTCAACCTCAGCCCTCCAGATGTTTTTGGCCCACAACTCCCATGATCCCAGCTAGCAGGGCCACTGGTCAGGGATGATGGGAATTGTAGTCTCAAAACATCTGGAGGGCCAAGGTTGAGGAAGCCTGGTGTAAGCCGTACTATGGACCAATGGGTTGAGCTCAATATATTACAACTTCCTATATTCTTTCGGAGGCTGCAGAGGAAGGCTTTGCAGAAAACTTGGGAGAAACAGAGAAAGCCATTTTATTTGCTGCAGGAGACAGTGCTAGGCAGGAGGAAGAGGAAGAAGACACAAGCTAGTCACGGATCAAGCATAGCGCTCTGTATGATTGCACACGAGGCTACAGGCAGTTCAGGAGGGAATGTTGACACGTCTAGCTCCATCTCTCCCTAAGCCGCGAAGAAGCGAATTTATTTATTTCATGCTGGAAAATAAAGAAGGGAGGAGAGAGGGAGAAGAAAGGAAAGAGAAAAAAGAGCTGGTGAATAATAAGCCTTCCTGAGTGGGTGGCAGAAAAATCAAAGACTGCGCCTAGCATACTGCAGACTTAAAACATAGGGCTGCCGTTGGATGCAACCTATTCGCTGCTGATTGGTTTCCCGACACAGTTCAAAGCTTTTTTTCTGGACCTCAGGTATTCCAAATATCCCTACCATCTTAAGGCCTAGAAACTTAATTTATAAAACAAAAATGAAACCGTAATCAACCTGTGGGTTTTAGTGTAGTTTAATGTATTTTCTAAATGCTGAGATTTTATTTGTGTTAGTTTATCTAAATTTTGTGGTGTGCCTTGGAAGCTCTGCTGGGGAGCACCATATAAAAATTTTGAAACTGGGGTGGAAAACCGTTTTTCAGCTTGAGAGCCACATTTCCTTCAGGGCAACCCGCCAGAGGATGGTGGGCAGGGCTGGAGCCAAAAGTGGGTGGAGCAACAACTGTATGTTTGACTTTAGTACAGTAGGCCAGCTTATACACATATTCACACAACCCAGTCTCTATCCAACCAGTCAAGCAAGAGGCATGATCAGAATCCAACAATACATCCCAGCCAGGCAAATATACTTGCTGTGCAAGGCAGGGCCAGTGAGAGGTGTAGGGAGATTTTGAAGGGCCCGACAGAACAGCCAATAGGACCACATTTAGCCCCCAGGTCTAAAGTTCCTCACCTTAATTTTAAACAAAACAAGTAAACAATCAGCAAATACCTAAATAAAGCACAGCTCTAACTTAAGCTGGTCAAGGAAACAGTTTTTTTGTTTTGTTTTAAAAACCCACTTGGAAGCAGCTCTCACCAGCTCCCAAGAGACTCACCTGTACAGGTCCTTTTGTCTTTGTGTAGACGGTAGCCAATTTTACAGCTGCAGTAGTAGCCACCCAGGTAATTGTGGCAACGATGATCGCAAAGTGGCTCACTGTCAGGGAGCTGTTCACACTCATCAATGTCTGGAGGAAAGGGAGGAGAAACGGGCTTGGATGTAGCTCTTCCAAAGCAAGATGCAACCATTTTGGCGAAGGGATTTCTGGGAGCGGGTGTGGACACATATGTGACGCAGGGGCTGAGATGGTGCCGTGGGTGGAAAGACCGAGGGCTGCACCTAATGTCAGCCCCACTAAGGGCTGACATGGCTAATGGCCTTTAATTTCAATGGGTCTACTTTGTAAAATGTAGTTGGGACATTTTTTGCACTTTTAGATCTGCATTAGCCCTGGGAAACATGGTGCATATATATTTTCATCTTAGACCACGTGAGAATAGTGTCTCAGGTCCCTTTGGAAATGGGATAATGGCAGAATCAGGCCTCTTCTGGGCAAAGAAAAACATACAAACACCCAAAGCTGGGTCTGAGTACTGAATACTGAGTCATGCCATTGGTCCATCTCGCTCAGTATTGTCTACGCTGACGCACAGCAGCTCTCTGGGATTTCATATGGGTGTCTCCTCCAGCCCTACTTAAAGATGCCGGTGAAACTCCAGGGTTTCAAGAAGAAAATTTTAGTTCTTCCTGAAGGTGCTGAGGACTAAACATGGGACCTCCTAAATGCAGTGCATGTGCTCTACCACTCTGCTATGATGACCACTTGCCATTGACATGCCCGTTCTGCCTTGCTTGCATGGAAGAGGAATGTCACCTCCAACCTCTCACCTTCAGCAGCATAAAAGGCCTCAAAGCCAGTGAATTCTTTCTCATTGGAATAGTCTGATCGGAAAGTCACAGCTAGGTTGTTGTTGATGGAGTGGTAGGTCCTGTCCCCTGGGACTTCCTCAGTGTCTGTGCTCTGATGTCCACACAGGGTGGCCAAGACTGTCCCTCCTGAACGCAACTGGAAAGCAGGGAGATGAATGAGATACATATCTATATATAAATGCAATGATAACTCCTTTTTGCCTGCCCTTAAGTGGACCTGCCAGTGGTTATCCCAGGAAAATGGGAAGCTGCCTTATACTATTAGAACATAAGAAGAGCCTACTGGATCAGACCAATGGCCCATCTAGTTCAGCATCCTGTTCTCAGGAACCAACCATATGCCTGCGGGAAACCAAGGAGGACCTGAGCATGAGAGCACTCTTCTGTAGTTTCCAGCAGCTTGTATTCAGAAGCATTGCTCTCACTGACCATGGAGCCAGAGCATAAACAGCAGAGCTAGTAGCCATTGATGACCACCTCTATGAAGTTGCCCAATCCTCTTTTAATGCCACCCAGGTTGGTCATTACTGCTTCCTGTGGGAGCGAGTTCCACAGTTTAAATACGTGCTGCATGAAGAAGTTGAGTTAGATTATTGGACCATACAGTATGCTGTATACAGACGGCAAGGTATATTCTGCCTGGACATGTTGCTTGGGATTGAACCTGGGACCTCTGCACGCAAAGAGGGGAATGAACTTGCAAGAATTCAAAGAGATCAGAGAAAGCAAGAGTCCTTTGGAAATTAACCAGGCGTGAAGGCTATCACTGGTTGCTTGCTTGGGTCTGAATTGAATGAGCTTCCTGGGCAGCAATCCTGACACTACCCGTTAAAAGCATGCTCACATGACGTCACATACCTTCACATAGTCATATTCGCACTGGTAGGAAAGCTCTAGATTGAAGTGGGTAAAGTAGAGGCGGATACCATAGCCAGGGGGCACAGTAATGTTCCATGTCCTCTCCTTGCCATTGGGGTAAATGTTCGGGAAGTCGGGGGATGCAATCCTTCCATACATTTTCTCCAGTTGGACGAGGTCACTGAGCACCCCATGGGAAAAGGCGAAGAGGAAGAGGCAAAGTCTGCAGGGGAGAAAATGAAGAAAGACTGGTGAGGCCAAGCTGACTCAACCCAAGATGCACATCCAAGTAGGCTGACCTATTAACACCGTACAATTGCACCCAGACTTAGGCAGAGTTGGCAACTGACTTCAAGGGCTCCCCAGCATAGTGCTGCTGCAGGGCCTCTTCATGGGCACATGACCATGCAGTATTTTCTTGCAATGGCAGTAGCAACCCCCCACTCACCCTCCCTGCTGCCCCCCCGACAGCCTTTTAGCAGTTGGGTGGGCACCAACGCTGCTTTAAATGGAAGCCGAGCTAAGCTCTCACCCATGGTGGTTGCCCAAAATGCAGTGCCCCGACTTAAAACGTGAACCAAATGGATTTGCTCCTCATTCCTGATATGCACGTGCATTTTCTTTGGAAAACTGTTTACACCAGAAGCAGCCAACATGTTAGACTATGACTACCATCAAATCTATCGTTTTTGCCAAATATTGCAGTTCTGTCAGTTGAAACATTGTTCTGTTGTTTTGTGACTATGATTTAAAAAAAAAAAAATAGCAGAAGGGCCCAACTTGGTGAGCAATAAGAATATTAAAAGAACCTAACTGCTGGATCAGCCCCCAAAGCAGGGCCTAAGCCCAACAGCAACAGTCTCCCAACTGTTGGGATCTGGTGTTCAGATGCATACACCATAATTATCATGACCAGTGGTAGCTATTAATAAGCTTATACTTCACAAAAAAGGAGGTATGTCAGTTATTTCTTAAGTAAACATCTGGTCAGTGGGTTCTGATGAACTATGTTTATAACGATAACAAAAAGAGATTTGAACTACCAGTTCCGTTTTGCAAACTGCATGCTGAGCTGCAAAATTGGATCTTCCTTTAGTGTGCTTCTTACAGCAGAGATACAGTCTATCCCTTCACTTCAAGAAACAGACCACTGCTCTGCAGGATTCCCAGATTAAGGGTTTGCCCAAGAAATCTGAGTGAATCCATGCAACCCATACTTCAGTTTGCCACTGAGCAGACTGCAAAGTCCTGATTGTCTCATAATTTTGCAACAATCCTACAAGGATAAATTCTACTTTGCTGTAAAAATTACATTGAGTAGTGTTCCAGATCCCTTTCAGAAAGACATCTTGGATAGAACTTACCTCATTCTTGCAATGCCCCTCTTTATGTCCTTTTGTGTTCTGGGATCAACAGCTGTCTCTTGTATGTTTGCACTGTTTTTTGGGGGAAAACACACACCAAACCACCCTTCTGTTTGTTCAGCAGTTATTTATCTTTCTTTTGAACTCCAACCTTTATCTCTTCCTTTCCCATCAGACTGGTCAATAGCTTCCATGAAACATGACTGATAGTTGGAAGTAAGCATGTGCACTCCTCAATCTGCTTTCTCTGTCTCTCTCTCTCTTAGAAAATGAAAAGTTCAGGTGGGACACAGTCGAAGGGCAAGTGCCGAGTTTAAAAGGTTTTCAGAGAAAAAGTTGAGCTGAGCCGTGTAGTGGAAAGCAGAGTCAGAAGGGTAAAAAGGTGGGGAGAGATGTAGAGAAGCGCGTGATTTGTTCTGGTGGTTGGCTGAGAGAGGACAAAGCAGAGGCATATGAGGCAATAGCAGCTCTGTTTCGCCAGCCGGGTCTTCCCCATTCTTGTGCAAGGTGGGTAAACACGGAGAAATATAGCCAATGTTCTGCAACCAAGTACAGGAAAAGGAAAAGAAAAAAAATATTATGGAAAAGAGACAAATATACCTGACATCAGATTATGTGTGCTTTCACACTTAAGTTGATTCCCTTCACAAAGCCTGGGAATAAAGCCCTGATCTTTTCAACTACCATGACTTTTCTGTTTTAATGGGTAATAGGGGAGGAGAAGCTAATTGTGTAGCCTCAGCTGTGCTATTCACAACCGGAAGGCAGACTTTGCATGTTTAGCTATTTTAAACACAGTACTTTCAGTCCCTCAATTGAGAAAAAGGAAGAAAGGGATTGTATCCAGCTGTGAGTTAGTTAGTTAGTTAGTTAGTTAGTTAGTTAGTTAGTTACAGTGGTACCTCGGGTTAAGTACTTAATTCGTTCCGGAGGTCCGTTCTTAACCTGAAACTGTTCTTAACCTGAATCACCACTTTAGCTAATGGGGCCTCCTGCTGCTGCTGCGCCGCCTGAACACAATTTCTGTTCTCATCCTGAAGCAAAGTTCTTAACCCAAGGTACTATTTCTGGGTTAGCGGAGTCTGTAACCTGAAGCGTATGTAACCTGAGGTACCACTGGTAGTTAGTTAGTTATCACATTTGTATCTTCTCTTTTTCTCCACAGAGCCCAAGTGTAGTGTATGTGGTTTCCCCCCTCCTCAAGTAATCCCCTCAACAGCCCTGTGAGGTAGGTTAGGCTGAGGAGTGACTGGGCCAAGGACACCCCAGTGAGCTTTTTGGCCGAGTGAGGATTTGAACCCTGGACTCCCAGGTCCTAGTCCAGCACCCTAACCACTACACTGCACTGGTTCAGAGCAGATCCTTTGAAATGAACGGAACTAAGTCATGCCCATTATTTTCAATTGGCCTGCTCTGCGTATGACCCAATATTGGATGCAAACCATGGCTAATTTCTCCTACACAGGGCAAACCTGCCTGATAATTAACCTCAGGCCATGCTCCTCACTGCCTCAGCTTCACACCCTCTGTGGGTGGAGATGTGTCCCTGAACTTTGATAATGCCTCCTGCTTGCTTGAAGGGGGATTTGTGTGCATGTGTGTATAGAGATTAGCCTGTTGTATGAAGGTAATGTTTACATTTGTTGCTCCACCTCCTTTTGTTTCTAGCCCCACCCACCGCTAACATGTGGCCCCCCAGAGCATTGCCCAGAACAGAATGTGGCCCTCAGCCTGAAAAAAAGCTAACTAAAAACAATATTAATGGGTTGTTGCGTCCAATGATTGCATTTATAATCTTGGCCTATATGACACTTTACTACATTATGCTTGTAGTGTACATGGTAGTATTTGGTGCTATCAGTTGGTATTAAGCTAGAATTAATAAAGGAACTATGCAGTGATACTGGCAACATATAGTTGTGATCTGGGTTTTGAAAATTGAGTAGACAGTGTAAATATTAACAATTCATTTTTACATGTAATGTAATGTACTAACTACTTTATTCACCATTGATCACAAATCTAGCTGGAAATTAAGCATAATTACATGTTTATATGCGTACATACCTACAAAAGAAAAAGTAAAGTGAAAATATTAGTTCTGCCTTATATGGAGTAGGGATGGATATGTTGGTCTATTTCTCTTGCATGTCAGAGGCTCCACATCCCTGTGGCAGTCCTCTCCAGCTTGGTACATTCCAGATGTTGATGTACTACAACTCCCATCATCCCCAGCCACTGTGGCCAATAGTCAAGGATGATGGGAGTTGTAGTCCAACCTCAAGAGCACCAGGTTAGGCAAAGCTGATATAAACTAACTGAAAGCAGCTGCCCAAGGTTTCAGGCAGGCTTCTTTCACACCTGGTTTGGAGATGTTGGGCCTTCTGCCTGCAAAGGAGATGCTCTACCATTGAGCTGTGGATACGCCCAATAAACACTTGTTCTATACCAAGTCAGACTATTGATTCATTTAGCTCAGCTTTGCCTGCAATGACTGGCAGTAGCTCTCCAGCGGACATTACATGGAGATGCTGGTGATCGAACCACAGACCTTTTGTGTGCAAAGTGTGATCTGCAGGACACTTATGATCCTTCCCCTGAGACATCAAAAAGCTGCTGTGCATTGAGTAGATCCGTCTAGCTCAGTATTGCCTTTCCTGACTTGTAGCAATGGTTCCCCATGGTTTAAGGCAGGAGACTTCTGTACTCCTACTTGGATATGCTGTGGATTGAACCTGGGACCTTCTGCATGCAAAGCAGGTGCTCTGCCACTGCGCCCACACCCCTTCTTATTTACAGAGGCCACGTTTCTAATTACTTGAACATAATCTCCTGCGCATTATCGCCTGTTTCCTCTCTACGCCCACATGCTCAGAAGGTCCGATGGAGAGAGATTCTGACTTACAGTGACAGCTGCCGCCTTGCTCCAGAGATGAATTGCACCGAGATATCCTGTAATTACACTTCCAGCTTATCACAGTCAGCCCTTGTTATCCGAGGTGTCTGTTTTGTGAGGCAGCAAACACTGCCTGTCACCTGCAGATTTGTGCCAGCCTCCTCTGCCCTTCAGCTCAGAGAAGCAAGTTGATGTTTTTCACCAGAGGGAAAATATTTGAGAACTGGTCGCTAATAATGATGCCGATGATAAGCAGAAAATTCCGTTCCAAGCATACAGAGGAATAAGTTTCCAGATAAATTTCATGCCTAAAGCAACCTTTCACAACCCAGTGCCCTCCAGATGTTCTGAACTACAACTCCCACCATCCCTCGACAGTAGAATAATCTGTGAATTTGCAACATTTGCATTGAGATATGTGGGCTTTTAAGTTATTCTGTTCTGTTGTTGAAGCAATAAAGACATTTCCTTAAAAAAAGAAAGTGTTTCAAATGTTTTTCCCCCCAAAGTGTACATTTCTAAGCACATTTTAAATTTTATTTTGCGTGTCTTGCTATATTGGGTTATGATTCATTTATTTGCTTTGGCTGTTTGTAGCATTGCATTACTTTTAAAAGGCAACTAGTGAATGGGGAGGTGGGAGCTGATAGAGCCCATATACAAGATTTTTGTAAAAGGATGCAGTTTTCACTTGTGGGTTTTTGGGTAGATACTGGGTTGTATCCAAGTTTTACTCAGATAGACACATTGAAATTAATAGTGATGCCCATTAATTTTAGTGGGTCTACATTAAATACAGAACATAGTTAACTTTTTTTTGGGGGGGGAAGGATGTTTTTTTTGGGGGGGAAGGATGTTTTTATCTGAATTGTAACATTTACATCAACAACAACACATTATGAGGGAGGGACTTACAATGTAACATTGGCATGACCTTGTTGGGTCACAAGTTCAGTTTAGAAATTCATGTGCATCTCTTTGTTTTTTTACAGGAACCGCCCCTGATCTCCCAGCTAAAGTTGTCCATGAGCTGCCAGTGGCTGCCAACTATTTTCTTCCCTATTTGCACAAGTAATAAAGCAATAACAAGTCTTCTGAAATATGCTTGCCTCTGTTCATTTTATTAGTGATTTTGGTTTATGTGTTAGTGCTGATCTCCACACTTCTTGGTACCAGCTTTGTTTTATTGATTGATTGATTGATTGATTGATTGCATTTATATTCCACCTTTCCTCCAAGGAGCTCAAAAAGGCATACATGTTTTTCCTCTTCCCATTTTAACTTCACAACAACCCTGTAAGTTTAGGTTGAGAGACAGAGGCTGGGCTAAGGTCACCCACTGAGCTACATGGCTGAGTAGGGGACTTAGAACCACAGTCTCCCAACATTGCAAGCACTATACCACTCTAGTGTAGGAAACTTGCAATGCGAAACTTTGTCTCTTTTGCATCCATCATTGCTCACAGTTGGTCTCCGCTCACACATGCAAACCGCACACAAACTGGGTGTGTGTGTGGTGGTGGTGGTAGAGAAAACTAACATGGAAGGTCCAATGTAGATAATGACATTTCCAAAGTTAGGAGACCTGGAATAGTGTGTTCAGTTCAAGGACTTTCCCATTTGGGGCCATAAAAAGTCTTACAGCAGTTAACAGACAGAGTACCAAGTCTTTGTGTATTGCTGATTTAGATTACAAGCAAAACTAGTTGTGGATATAGCTGCAGTGACTGACGGGCGATTTTGTTGATTTCTTCACATACAGCATTCCGGAATGGAAGAACGCCATTGTATGACTACCACATATGGAAAAAGGTACCTCACTCCCCACCTTGCTCCCCACACATCCTTCCAATGCCGGGGAAAAAAGCATATTGTTTATTCTGCTCAGAGTGTGGGGAATGAGGTCCTAGAAGAACACTATTTTTAAAGCATTCTCTCTCAACTGGCAGACAGATTTAAACGGCGCCTTTTCGCTTCTACACCTCTATAAAGTTTCATCAGTGTTCAGTTGTAAGTCCTGTCCCCAGATGACTTAAAATCCATTGTGAATGCTTATACTTTCACCCAACAAAATGTTATAGATTGCTGAAACTATACACTTTCCATTCTTTGTGGTCAGAGCAATAAATGTCTCGCAAGTTGAGAGGACATCTAGTGGCTTGGCTTATGATACTGGGTATTGTTACAAAATGATTGACTTGATGTAATTGAAACCTGGTAATTGTATTATTCCTTAACAAGGTTTCTAACAGCTTGTTAGCTTTAGGGTTAAGTCCTGTATATAAGTACATTGAATGGTATGGACAACCAGCTTCTTCCCAATGCACAAACTGCAGAAATGTATCACTTATTATTATTTTTACTCCAGATTTTCCAAACTGTTGAGTTGTTATTGATGTAGAGGTTTGCTATTGATTCTGTTTCTAACCCCTCCCTCCCAATGCAGTTTAAATCCTCTATATTTCTTTACTGAAGTCTCTGACCTTTCTAGGTGCAACCAAGATAGCAGAGCACGACAGACTCTAGAAACTCAGCCTGTCCTGTCTCTCCTCTTGGTTCTGAGTTCATGGGGACTCAAATTAAGCCTTGTACTCTTATGATCTGCTACTGTAAGTCAGAATCCAGCTCTGCAAGCTTTCATCCCAATCGTTAAATCATCATAAAGCGGAGCGGAGGAGCAAACACCACACTTGCATTTGAT